CCGCACACGAGTGACATGGGTCACTTATATGAGCTCTGAACAACCGTTTGACTGCAATGGCATTTTTATGACACGACTGATTGCTGTGCTACATTATGTGAAATTGAGTTGAAAATGACAACCTGGTAGAGGGAAAGTGAGTTTTAACATAAGTGAGCGGTTACATTATTCAGATGGACGGGAATTAGCTTGACCTTAAGTCACATTTTACCAACTGAGACACCAGGATGAACCCCAGATGGCCTGTAAAGATAAAGAATTGTTAATTGGAAACAATCGGCTTAGGTTTAAAGCCAATTTGAACTCTCAAGTTTATACAAAGGCTCCCTTTAAGATTATTTACCCCCTGACCCTCTTAGTGTCAATTCATGCCCCTAATTCAAAGAACAACAGCTTATCTGTGACGGTGACTAATCCTATTTGTGATTTGAGGTTTAGCACTACAGTTTACTCTGATTCCAACAAGCTGATAGATCTGTGTCATCTCCGTATCATGACTTTAGCTTTGATTGTTGAGTGAATTCAAATTTTGCTCGATGAACTGTCGAACCCTAGTCATTTATGACAACAGCAAACGGATGCTTTTTATTTCATCTCAGCCTATCCAAGAAAAACATAGTCAAATTTTGTATCCCTACAAATGCTGACTTGAATTTTGATAAAGCCTATATATTTGCATTGCTGCATTGAAATGATCTCTATTCCAATATGATTCAAAGTGGAGGTGGAAAACTGTGAAATAATTAGACTTGTCCTCCATAATGGTAAAATAACTCAACGATTCACCATTCACTGTCGTTTTGGTCAGATAGGCGCGCCTCTAATAATATAACTAAGGAGACAGGACTTTAGAATTGGAGTCCTTTCCCCTGACTTACTGCTTAATAGACATTCATACTGCAGCTTTAGCTCTGCCTAATTGAAGGAAAACCTCTGGTCTTCCTCTCTGCATCCTTTGTTGTCAGACTGCAGCTGCTTTGTTCTCTAACAGCTCTTTAGAGGCGGCTCTCCGGGTAATGAATTGCATGACAAGTCAAGTGGTCTGCTAATACCAGCTGGTGTCTCATGAGAAATTAATGTGTTGCCATGTAAGGTGAGAAGAGCTGCTTGACCTGATGTGTGACGTTTGTGTGATGACATTAAATCCTCCTGGTAAATTGGTGTCGGGTCATGAGCTGAGTTAGCTTAGCAACCTTTTGTCACAATGTTAAAATACAGTATCACAGAGGAGCACTACTGCTTTTGAACGTTGGTATTGTTTCATTGTTTTTAACCCAAAAAAATCTGTTAAAGGACGTTATCAGCATGGGCGACATTGACTATATTCAGAGCTCCAAGAAAAGGTTTTAAATGTTAATTATGGCATTTTAGTCATTTCTATTTACCTTGGCTTGATACAGTATGAGGCCAGTTTATTGTAATAGCTCCATAAGGTCTTCTCTGCTGTTGTACTTTTACGCAGCATGAAACCATTTTTCCACAATGAACAAAAAACACCATTCAGCTGTCAGTGAGTGTCATTACCAGTTTTATTAAGGTGATTTGTTCCTTTCAACTAGGAAAAAAGAACATATAATTACAAACATTGAAAGTGTTTCCAACCAGCTTTTCCTTGGAGGCTGGAAATTGTGTTCACATGTATGAAAGGAAACTATTCAGCTACAAACATATGTGTTGTTACAATTACATTTCACATACTTGCTTCCTGGACAGAAATGTCTTTATGTCATGGAACCCCTCATTTTTTTTTTTTTTAAACATTTCCCAACACATGCACATCTTTTGTCATGGAAGGTGTCGTTCATTAGCAGTTATGGGCTAATGCGCTAGCCATCTGCTAACCTCCCACCCCTGGAGCCAATAATTTGATTATTCATATGGAGCGCTGAGCTGACTGCAGTCAAGGCCGGGTGCTGCTGGCTGTGAACAGATGCTGAAACGTGAACTAGCAGCCCTCAGCTCTAAACCTCTCGCAGCTTCAAGCAGCGGTGTGGCGTCCTTTGTCGTTCAGGCATGCAGTGATCTCCACCAACGGGCTTTACCGAGCAGCAGCAAGTCAATGGCCCCTCTCGGGTCAGATGAGACCTGGATATTAAGAATTATCAGAGGTCCAGGAGGACAACGCAATACAATCACAATACACTTGAACAGGCAGCCTGGCAGATGTGCATATGTGTCAATTAGGGTTTGTCTTGATCGTATGAAGTTTGACACGTCATTAACTTTACCCACAATGGCAGTTAATCTAAAGCTCCATTTGAGCTTTGACTAATGGCTTTGTCCAAACTCTGTCCTTGAAGTTCCCCATGCAAGGCAAGCAGAGTTTTTCTTTATTCCAGATATTTACGTTTCATTAGCATGTCCGCCCTAAATCGTCTCCAGTCAGTCCAGAAGCTGCTGCTCGAATACTCACCAGGTCAAACAAACGGTCTCACATCACTCCCATACTGAAATCTCTGCACTGGCTCCCTGTGGCTTAAAGGATTACGTTTTAAATTCTCACCCTCACTTTTAGAGCTCTTCACGGTCAGGCCCCAGAATATTTGACAGAACTCATTCACCCGTATTCACCGACCCGTTAGCTAAGGTCCAACACCCTACACCTGCTGCCTGTCCCACAGACACATTTTAGGACTTTGGTGAGCGTGTGTTTGAGGCCATAGCACCAATCCTTTAGAATTACCTGCCCATCTTATGTTCTTCTGACTCTGTGGAGTTATTGTTCTGGTCATAACAGGATTTTAGGTTTGTTGGGGGGGCAGTTGGGGGGGGCCCCTAATATAATGATAGGGGAAACACTGATGTTGGTCCGTGAACTACTCGTTTGTTCCTGTTTTTTATTATGTGTAGTATTTTATTGATGTAAAGCACTTTGTGACCTTTGTCTGTGAATAGTGCTATATAAATAAACTTTACCTACTTACTTAAACAAACAGGAAGCTTAGGAAGGACATTTCATGGATATTGTTTAGCTTCTTCAGTAGCCAAAGGAGCTTACTGTTTGAACATAAAATATAGTACAACAAATAACTGATAACTACTTCCTGTGTATCATTGGAGAGGGACTTTCAAAAGAGAACACACCACTCATTTCTGGAAAGGTTATAGACATGTAATGACGTTTTGCCAGGAAATGTGAAACTCCGACACATCATTTAGAATTTGTACAAAACCACATTTTGTCATTTCTCTACCAGATGCCATTGCTGGCATCAACAGAAAATGTGACACTTTTGACTAGTCGTGTAGTAAACATACACATGTTTTCCTCAATGTATAGTTCATGAGAATTCACGGTTAACTCAACCTGTCTGATATTGAAACCAGGATGTTGTCTCTCAAATCTACCAAGCTTGTGAAAGTTGTGAAGTGATGTTCTTGGAACTCGTATACACATGAAGTGTTTATCGTGTTTTTCATGACTTCGGCGTTGGCCTTGTAATTGATTGAACTTTGAGCATCTTAACTTTCTTCATAGAACAAAGATCCACAGGGCAAAGAAGGTCTGCTATTGATCAGACAGTATGTCTTGGACCTAAAACTTTCTAAGGTCCATGAAATATAAAACACTAAGTAAATAATAGTTTTGAGCCTTCAGTGAGGGTTTCAAAAGGTCAATAAAAGGTCATAATAGTGCTATAAAATTGTAAATGGACTGCATGTATGGAGTGCTTTTTTTTCCCTTTACAGCTTTACATTTTGCCTCTTATTCACAAATCCATTAACTCTGAATTAAACTCTCAACGTTCAGGGACATGTTAATTGGTTCTATCTCTGCTGATCATTTTTACATCAAGTGATTCCATTTGTTCTGAATCTACAAGTAAGAAAATGGTTATAATGCAAACTCTAGTTTGACAGGTGCACAGCATGGAGCGCGTGGAGATCTTACCACCCGGAGTTAATTGCACTGCTTGAGATGTATGAATATTTGTATGCACATTTACACGGACAAAAAAGAAACCATTAGATCATCACAGCTGCAGAAGTAAAGAAGACACAAGTGTCGGTAGAACATTGAGACCATGAAAACACGTCTGTGTGTGTGTTGTGAGTGTGTGTGTGTGTGAAATATTGGTCAGGGGGAAAAAAAGATAAAGTTACAAATGGTGTTTAAACTCCACTAAACAAACAGCAGCTCCATACAGGGTGTAACTGAAGCATGGGAGGAATGATTAGTTAAAGGGGGAAATTGCTTGGTCATACAGTCGTATAAGTGAAGAGCGACTGTATTTCCTCCTGTGTGTATTAAAGCAGCACTTCATATCATAAGCTCATTATATCTGAGCTATAAAGTGATTATGGGCTCCAGTAAGGCATTGTTCTGCTGTTGACAGGATTAAAGATGACTTTAGAGAGAGGGAGAGAGAGAGAGAGAGAGAGAGCGCGCGCCGCTGCTCTCTGCTTGAGTGTTTGCTCGCTTTGTATAAGCCAACAGTGAAAGGGGCTGCACGCTTGACTGTTTGCCAGCTGCGACACACCCTCCCTCTATTCTTTTACACATTCATCTCCCGCCTCTCCGTCTATCCATCCACATATCTGTCTGCTTTGTTCCTGTTTGAAAGCAGCATGAAGTGTCTTTTTTTTTTCACAGACTTGTCATCACCTGGTGTACAATTGTTTCAAGGATTTTAAGGAAATCCTTCAGACACTAAAGGCAGCTAATCTCTCTTGTCAGCGAGGCATTGAGTGGAATCTGTGTCACTGGGTGTGCCTGCAGAATTCTTATTGGTAGTTTAAATGGTCTGTTCAGAAAATAAAAAAAGTGGAGGCTTTGTACAACAAGTTATATATGGCATCGTTTAACCCTCTGTAGGTGAGGTTTAACCACTTATTATATTGTCAATGGAGAAGACTTGATAAAGATTCACCTTTTTTAATTTAGGTCACATCAAGCACCTTACTTTACACGCTGTCTGAATGTATACCTCACCCTGCATGCACACATTCTCAGATTTCAGTGTCTTCCTTTCTAAATTACTTTCCCATTCTCTTTGCAGAAGAAGGCCGGAGTCGTGAAGACGCAGGAGAAGAAGGAGCGGTGGAAGGAGAAAAAGGTAGCGAAGCGGCAGAAGGAAGACGAGGAGGTGGGTGAGGAGGAGGAGAATGTGCAGCCGGTGGTGGATCCGCTGGAGAACGGCTTCCTTCATCACGCCCAGCGGGAGCAGGAGAGGATGAACGAGAGGCTGCTGAAGAGGACCTACTCCAAGAAGAACAAAATGGTGAGTGTATTTTTTTTTTTTTTAAATGTAATGTCATAGATTGGCAAATGATAGTTGTCTGCTTTGGTGGCTTTTTACATGAGGGCAGAGGAGCCAATCAGCTGCTGCATAGGTAGCATCTTACTCAACTTCTTTTCTGCGATTGGTCAACTAGGTTACTTCCAGAGCTCTCCTGTAACTAAGAACGAGGACCATCTTTTTCTTTTTCTATATATATCTCCTTTCCATCCATGTGACGGCTGGTCCACGTTCTCTAACAACAGAAAAAGAAACCTTTTTCAAAAAAGAATCCTCACACAGTCAGATGTGACTTGACTTACTCCTTTGTCAGCAGGGACTTTGAAGCACACTGCTGACTGAGGTTGTCATCACTCCAGTCTCCTATCAGAGCACCATCAAAACCACATCTCAGTCTTCAGCACTGGAGGAAATCATTTTCTTCAAATCCTCGGCGCCTTTGTGAGCAGTATCTGCTAAAGGCTGTCATGTGAATCTGAGCCTATTTAGAGCTGTCTCATGATTGATTTTTTTTAGCATTTAGAAAAAAGAGCTGGTCACATTTGCTGGTAAGAATTTAGTCGTTTTAGTTTTCATTGTTTTTTAAATAGAACTTTCTGACATGAATCTAGTTGAGTTTTTTGTAAAGTTCAGGTCGTAGGAACAAGGTAACTTGTCCTTTTACTGATTTCAGGTTTTGATAGCAGGCCCTTTAAAAAGTAGCATTGATTTTTCTCATGATGTGGTTAGTGGTCAGCTCTTCTTTTCCATGCTGCTGTCTGAGGTGACTTCATGTACACACTTTTAATTGTGTCAGCTCGCTGTGTTTCAGTTTGTTCCAATAGTCGTACCACTTCTTCTTTTGCATTTTTGCATTTTAATGTTTAGAATGTCCCTGTGAAGTTTGAACTAAGCACAGATTGTTTCTTCATATGTTGTTTCAATTGACAACTGCAGTTTTTTACTCATGGTGTTGTTGACTGCCACTATGGATTGCCAGTCATAAACTGTGATCGCACAATTACTATTGCTTCTACACTTCAGGGATCCAAGCGGTGTTGCTCCCTCCCTGTAGGCGCTCTATTGTTTTTGTTCCTCTTCTTCTTATTTTATTTTTCTCCAATAGAATATGTGGGAAGTGTGAGCCAAAAACAGCTGGCCAAAAAACGCACCAAAATTGGCAAGTGACTTTCAAATCCCTGCGACTACACGAGAACATAAAAGACACATTGTTCCCAACGTGAGGGCTGCTACAATCAAGTTGACACTTTAGGAATTCTGGTTTAGAGTTTAGATTAGATTTTAGATTTTTATTACTTAATCCATACCTTACACTAATGATCCTCTGAAGATGAACATGCAAGACTTTTCTTAATGTTTTCAATACTTTATTTCTGCAATCTGGTCCAAAACAGTTTAGAAAATTGACCCAAACTTTTCTCATGGCTATCTATGGACATATTTGTCATCTACATTTAATTTGGCTAAGTTGATTGCACAATGATGGACGAGAAAATTAAGAGGTGCAGGACAGATCATGATATCCTGATATATGACCTTTTTTTTTTTTTTACTGTAGATGCACTATGGGAGGTTTGAACTTGAATTGGTGTCTGGTTTTTTTGGGTACACTTTCTTAAAAATAAGGCAAAGATGAACCAATAAGAGCAGCACATGAGGGGGAATCAGTGATATAATCAGAAATCTTTACAAAGCAACATGATATATCAATCCATCAATGAGCCCCTGTAATACCAAAAGTGTTGTCAAAGTGTCGGCATGATCCTGTTTCCCTTCATAACAACAGAAGTGTTTTTGTGTTTGTTGATGCACATAGAGGACTGCCAGAAAAACCCCAGCTTCAAGCACACTGCTGAGCACACAGACTCTGAGACTGTCCTGGGGAGATAGCCCATCTATGTGTTAACAGTTTGTTTAAATGGGCGGATGTTTTTATGCTCCTGTCCGAGGCCAACATCCACCACAGTGCTGTGGAGGATAAGAGGGGAAATGTAGTCAGGAAGCCAAACTAAATAATGAGGCTATGCAGCCCGGAGGCCTCCTCCGCAGACAAAAATATCTCTCTGAGATAAGATTTCCTGAGGAAGTTAACATGGCTGAAAATGAGTTTGGCTGTGATATTTAGTTTGCTAAGAGACAGTTAGAAATTATGTATTTAGCTAATGCTCTTATCCAGAGTGCAAGTGCAATAGGGCTGCAATTACTGAGCCAGATCTACATTCCAGGCCAGATAATAACTCCTTATTATCAGCAAACTGCTGCTATCATGTGCAAACCTTGTAACTCCAGCCAGTCTACATTTTATGTACAGCAATAACTTCAAATGATAATTAGCAACACATGCTCCAACAGAGAGATAACACAGAGATAATGTAAGCTGCTCATATATGAAATAATGTCTTAAATAAATACCTTTAGTATATTTTGAGGGACATATACACAATGTTAATGTTGTCCTTAAAGAGCACACTCAACCCTGAAATGATTAGATATTTCAGTTGTCAGGGTCGATGTTCCAGTGAACCGTCTAAAGAAGTTATTTTCAAAGGGAGAATGTGTGACTTTTTGATCCAGTAGATGTCGCCCTTGAGCAGCAGCATTAAACTAAAACAAACAACAAACCGCTATTCTGAAGCCTCCGCTCTCCTCCAGCGACACACCTCCAACCCCTCTCCGCTCACGTTCACACGGAGGAGTTATGAATTAGAAAGCACCATAATTAAACACCATTAAGGGCAAGCGGCGGACAAAACTGTCCTTTGCTCAAGCTGAAGTTGCCCGTGTCCTGCATTGTTTTGTTAGCAGGCTAATGTTAGCACTCTTTGACTAAAACAGCTTTATACACAAGGCTGTCCCGACGATGTAAACATGATGTAAACACAGCTCTGACAACAGTACAGCTGAGGGGACTCGAGCTTCTCACTCATTGTAGAGAGTCATGACTCAGAGGGACATACACAGAGGATATACTCGATTTCTGCTGTGTTTACATGTAAAATGTCACACATTCTTCGTTTAACACTTTGCAGCAGCTTACAGGAACTACTCGTCTACGGCGTATTGTACTGGTTGTAAGTGATTAGACCCTGTGCATTGCTTAAGTCCCCTTAAATCATCTAAGTCCTGTGATTCTTAGATAACTCCCTCCCCTGCTGGTTACATGTTCCCTGGTGGTTCCATGGTGTTCTTCCTTTACTTTAACCTTTCCAATCCCTTCCTTTCTTTTTCCACATGTTGCTTTCCTTAATCTCCGTGCCCGGCTAAAGCAGAGTCTGAATGTCTGAGAACAAGGAGCTAAAACCACTTTTAGCCTAGCTTGGCTTTATTTCTCGGGCATGCTGGGAACACAAGTCTGCCTTTGAGACACAATTAAAACTCCCCCATTCCACCATGTTGTTTTGAGAGCTAACAATTACAAAGGTGTGTGCACACAGTGGGAAACTCACAGATCCTTTGATAATTACAGTGCAGATGAGACTCGTGACATGATCCTGTTGCATTAGTGATGAATAATAGATCACACTGAATGAGTAAATCAGCACCTTTTGAATAAACATTTACTGGGAGCTGGAGGAATCCCCTCTGCTCTACTCGTGCTGTTTAACGCACCTGTGTCTTAACACTGCACCTGCCAACTTCCTCAACATTAATTCATAATTTGTAACCCAAAAAAGGAGTGTCTGCTATATCACAGAAGAAAAGTGAGATTACAATGTGAACAAAGCAACAGCTGCTGACGGTTTGAGAGAGCCTGTAGGGGATCGTGCGCCATGAAAACCTTTAGTGAGAGCCGATGAAATATGTGATTGTTTTCATTTCCATTTATCCTCTCAAATTCGGGCCCATGTCCTGGAGTTATTGTGTTATTAGATGGAGGTGTTGATAGATTTCACTATTGGTGAGCCCAGTCTCTCGGCTGAGTGCTCGCTCACTCACTGCTGTTTACAAACCATCTGTTTTGGTGTGTTTATGCCTCAGTCACTCCCTCCCAGTGTACATATAAAGGGAACTGTTGCTCTTCTCTTTTTTTCAGAGCAGCTCGCAGCAGCAGCAGTAAAAGTTAAACTACAAAGATCATTTTATTTTTGTGGCTCTGGAGTGACTGCGTGAGAGCAAGTGCTTGGAGTATAAGAGCTTAGGAGAGAGCAGTTGATGAATATTTGCTCTTGCTCTAGCCTACACCCCTGTGATGTCTTTATGCACCGTGTTTCTGATAGGAGGATTCCATGCATATAAAACACATTCACCTCCAGATGATACTTGCTTCGATGAAGAGCCTTTTGTGGCTTTATCTACCACAGAAACTGTCCTTGGTGAAAGTGCCAACAACCTTTATCGAAATCCCTCGTTTTTTACTGTATTCACTAAATCCTGAGTCCTATATCCCTGAGGGAACAATCTAAATTGCACATTTTCTGCCAGTGTGTCTGTTGGAAATCGAATGTACAGACTTTGTTTTTAACTGTTGAGGACAGCAAAGAGCACTCGTCAACTTAAAGCAAGTATTAAAACATATTAAGACAGACCATACAAACCTTTTGAACTGCAGTGTGACCTTTCATTATCTAAAGGTTATTGCTCTTAAGAATCCTCTCTATAGTTTGTGACTTGCATGCTGTTTTTGTTGCCACTCTTTTATGCACATTGCATTACAGAATGACTCTTTTTGGCCTTTTGTGTAATGGGCTTTTTGTTCCGCTTGCAGTTGCTGGCTGTTGTTATTAAAGTGAAACACCAAGCAGAACAGATGACAGCCAACAACAAGTGACTCTCACTTGAAAGGTGAAATGAAACAAGTGCACATAAATTAGGCACATAACAAAACAAGTGTTGCGTTGTGTTGTGCTGTGTGATTTGTGGCCCCTTCTCTCACACACATGGTGCTCCACAGAAGTGGAACAACGATGATGAGTTTAAGCGGGAGTGTTAGCTGCTGCAGCTGCTGTGCGTAAAGACTGTGCAAATAAACGCTTGTGTGACAG